AACTGCAATACTATATGCATGCTACAGTTATGGACGCTCTTGAATCTTTTATCCAAATGATCCCTCTCCTAGGAGAAGACCGACCATTTCTGGGCATCTACCCCACCAGCTTTACCTGACAAGACAGCTCTGGACAATCCTTCACTCAGTAACATCTTATTCATTATTATATTATATCTTTGAGAAAGAACGATGGAAAATCAGCTATCTGCAAGAGGTAGTCACAGAGGTGAGGAAAAAGGAGATTTCCTTGCTGCAGACCCACTTTCTTCCATAACTACTACGAAAAGAGAAGGATCTTCCTAACAATGGAGAGAGGCGACTGGAATGGGATGGCTCTGATACCAAAGAGCAACATCCAAAAAGAACTGAACCACTCAGACAAGAAAGCAGAGCTCTTCTATAGCCAGTTCAAAGACCACCCAAACGGAAGATCTATCATAACAAGTTCCCATAAATTTTGTTAGTTTAGGAAGGTGTAGAAGAAAAGTAATGACACACTTAAAGTTGGATTTGTGCACAGCAAAAATGGCAAGTGCTAGCAACGCCCTCTGAAAAGATTCTCTTGGAGAGTCGTTGCTGCAAGTTCTCTGTTGAATGTCAGAAGACATTTCATTAGAATCACTGCACAAAATGAAAACATAGAATGGGGCATTTTGAAGCCCCAAACTATTCCAGTCATCATCATATAAGTTTTAACGAGAGAATAAATAAGGAGTCAGTTACATTTTAAGCAAAATAAGTAATTGTTACCCCACTGTGTAAAAATAACATAGGCCGCCAGAGAGAACAGAAGAAAGGTTCTAGTGGATTTCATGAGTACTTAGAGTAAGTAGAATACCATCTTACTGATCTCCCTATTTGGATTTTTACAATGGCAGATAAACTACTTTTGGTTGGAGGAAAGATAGGAAAAGTCCACTGAAAATTATCTCCAGGCATCTCTCTGCCTGTTCTTTTCATTAATGCTTCATCATTTCAGTGCCTGCAAGTAAATAGTAAGTTCGTAACTCATCTGATAAGTAAGTTAAGTCAGAAAAATCAGAAAATATGAATCATGTCAAATAACTCCAAGTAGCCTGGACAACATTATTATATCGATATAGTAAAATGTGAAGAGAAAAGCCCGGAATGCTTTCAAGCAAATATTATTAATATCATTGTTCCAAAAGGAGACAATAGAAAAATACCAAGTACAGGAATAAATACAGCAAGAGTGGCATTGCCCTTGCCCTGAGGTAGATTCCATTAAATAAACTGCAGAGGCAGTCCCTCTTCTGACTTAATGTGCAGTATTGGTTAAAAGGGTTCTGCATAAAGGCTAATAATCCTTTTCAGTAACTTTCATGGCAGTTAGGCAGGGCTCCATATTCATACTAAATAGTGTGATATCTCTACCCCAGATTAAGCAGCTAACATTTATGGAAGAGCATGACTCTAGGGGCTTTGAAATGAATCTCAGCAACGTAGGATATTCAAATGTGCTTCTTTTTACCCCAGTTCCCCTGAAGTTTGGACAGAAATTGCGCCCTGAGGGAATACCACCACCCACTGCATATTTATTGCATACAGTAATAGACACACATGGCTGCCAGAGCTGTAAAGGTAACATGTGCAGACTAGGGATTTCCAGTCCTCTTGCCAGGGGTCTACTGGGACTAGTTGCCATATGGGACTGCTATAGAATACCCTTCTTTGCTTCCTTCTAAACTTCCAAATATATCAAAAGTTATGTGAGGGACTGCCATTGGCTCTCACACAATTTCTAAATCTATTATTATGAGACCAGTGAATCCCAATAGTGGGAATATCTGAGCTAGGCTACAAGGCTGAAAACTTTTCTCAACCAGCCCTTTAACTTCAAGTTTCTAAAACAGCAATTTTTCTCTAGAGAACCAATATTTTCTTTGTAAACTGTATATTTGCACTTCTGCTTAACACTAACTTTATCAGATACAAGTCTGTAAATGCATCAGATATAAAAGTAGCATCAAACTCTAGCCTCTCCAGTCTGCCTGCTGGACACTAGAAATATATATGTACTTTTAAATATATGTGGCTATTTTAAAAGTCCAATTTTTCCTTAGTACAACTGCCTTTTGATGGGAACTGTGAAACAAGGAAGGGCTTTGCACGCTTATAAAGCCTGTGAATTACTAGGTCTGCAGCAGAGAAGTACTGGTTTTAAATGAATACAAATGTGAAAGAAAATAGAAACTCGATTGGTGATTATTTCTCTGAGAGAGAGGAAGCAAGTGGGGAGATGATTTAGAAATTGTTATTTCCCAGATAATCCCTAATGCAAAAAAAAAAAAAAAAAGTAGACTGTGCTTCATCTATTCACATAAAGAATATCCCAGTTCTCCTGAAGTCAACCACAGCAATTCTATTGACTCCCCTTAACTTAACATTGACCCCCTTAAGTTAACTAAACTTAAGATATCACCAGTAAAGTCTTCTGCACTGAGATATATGGCATGCTTGTAAGCTATAGGATCTGCAGTACACATGGAGGTCTTTAACTCTCATGCAGTTGAGTATATCACCAAACACAAACAAAACAAACTCCAGAATTTACATTCCTCTCATTTCTCAAGATGTGCAAAAGAACTAAACAACTACTTATTGAGATATATATATGCAAACTTTTCACCCAGGAACAAAGTTTTTTTTCAGAATTGATGGTTTGCTAATTAAATTAAGAATTCTTGTTTACTAATTATATCAGGATTAAAAATCCTCATATTTAAATCAAAAGATTAGGAAACCTGATTATCTATTGACTTTTCTTTGAAGTGACTTTGCCAACACATCTCAAACAGTTGTATCAAGATATTTTTTTTTTTAGAGATCAAAGGGATGAAGACAGGAGAAAAGGCTCATTACAAATTGATTGGTTGCTAACCGCAGGATGTTTGCAAATGATCCATCTCCCTCTCTGTCTCACTGTTTTGACCTCATTCAATGTCTTGAGAAATTCATAGACAGAAGATTAACAGAAATAAATCTTCTGCAGCTCTAGTGATAGATTGCAGTTGTAACAGAATGCAGCCAATTTCTTGCAGGGACTGGCCTGGAAAACAGTGGTGGTTCTGCAAGGATGGAACAACCAATTAGCAGAAATGAAGAGACCATCACAAGTACTGCCTAGATGAATCTAAAGAAATTACTAATATCACAATTTAATAAACAGATAAATTAATTCAGTTAATATGCATTATGATTTTTCTTCAGTATGTCACAGAAAGCACTACAGCTTTCTAAAAATCTATATATTCTAGGTCTCATAACCCACTATAATAAAGAGATGTTTATGAGTTCTATTTAACTCACTAGGCTCTAGACTATGGAATACATGGCATAGAAATTAAAAACAGTTGAGTAATGTAAGAGCTTATGAACACTTACACTACAAATCATTATACAAACCTGAATACTTTTAAATTTTGCTTTAAACTAGAGCTTTATGGTGAAGTCAATATGAGTCAGTCCCCCTTTCGTCAAATTAAGGCCAATATAATAAGAATTTTAAGTATGATAAATATCAAACTCATGAAACTAAGAGTGTTCTACTAACACCAAGGTACCCTAATTATGCTACGCTGGAACAAAAGAAACAAACCATGGTAGCTACTCATGAGGCCATAATATGGAGCCTAAAGTAATGACAGAGCAATAGCGACTCCATCTAGGAAGGCGGGAACAGACGGGACTCTCAAACACCAGTCTCAAATTATCATATATTTTCTGTGAATGTCTTAATAAAATAAAAGATCTAGCTACTTTAATCCACAGAATTACTAACCTAAACGGCCCTGACTATCTTAAGCATGTCTTGGCCAAATCTCAAGGTACCTATACAGCATTAAAATCGTATTTGATGGCAGGGGGTGGGGTAGGGATTGTTTTTTGTTTTAAAAAAATATTTCAGTAGTGATGCTTCCTTGGTTCCAAGTTGCTACTTTAGCCAAGATTCAGATATTTATATGTCAGCCATAACATAACGATGTGATCAGAATAACACACGAGGCATTCAGAATCTATATTCAGATTTGCAGGAAGATGTCAGTGATGATTCAGCTCAGTTCTGGCTGCAATGAAACAAAATTAGCCTGGACACAAGTTAATTTTGTCTGCTCCACCTATGAGTGAACAGCACATTGACTCTTGCTCATAAATTGCAGCTTTCACAAGCTAAGCTGCGAAAGGCTTGGGTTTATACTGAGGTAAAAAAAAAAAACACAAATAAATAAATAAATAAATAAATAAATAAAAGCTAAATCTACCTGGAGTACTACAACAAGTGCTTGAGTAAATGCCTCTGTCTTTTTGAACTGATATTGAAACATGCTACCAACATAACTCGTGATTATTCATGAATGTGCTTTCCCCACCTAAAATGAGATATCTAAGTGTTACCTTTGTGTTCTCTTTTAAACTCCCACAAGGCTTCTGCAGAAGTCTAAGAGGTGCTGACATTTATTCATGACTACATTTCAACTGAAGTACACAGTTTGCTATTTATTCCTTCCTCTGATTTAATTTGGATAAAGTACTCATCATATCCTCTCTTAAGGTGCAAAATGGTGTTACTATGTACCACTTCTTAAATCTCTACTGTAAGTCAATAATAAATATCCATACAACATACTGTATATTCTGTGGTATGCTCTGTAAACAAGTAGATATTATTAATAACTATCTCATAAGGCAGAGAAATAAAAATTAATTACATTTTTCCAGAAAAGAAAATAAATAACTTAGATGTTTATGAAATAGATTGGTCTGATTCTTAGCTTTGAGTGCTTGTCTGCTTCCTGCATGGCTCTCACATGCAACAGAACCCTGGCAATGATTGTGACTACCACGCCAGCTATCTCCAGGACAACTTCTCTTAGGCCTAAAAGCATTATCCATCAGAACCCAAAATAAGAAATAATGATAAATATGCTCCTGTAAAAACATCCTCCAGTAGAAACAAATTCCATTGTTTCCAGTACCTGATTCTCTATGGCCTTCCTGTTTTTTGGATCACTAACAACAGAGAGTTGTAACTCTGCCATCTTTTTCATCTTGCTGTCCATGTCAATCTTCTGGAAGAGACTCTTAGTTTGGTTTTTCAATAGCCTAACGGTGTCCTCTTTCCCGAGCTTCTTCGCAAAGAGGGAAGCACAAGCTGAATGTATGGCAGTAACCCAGTTTTCCAGATCTGTCTGGCTTGTCGCCTGTGAAGCAAATGCATGGTGCAACATTATAATCAAATAAGAGACAGCAAAAAATGAATCAGCAGCTTTAGAAGATCTAGTAGATCTAGAAGCATCTGACAGGTTCACTGAGATCTTGGGCATTATATCTTTAAAACTATCAAAGTAAAGGAATTGCCAGCCTTCTCCACACTCCACTGCAACTTGCCTCCAATGCTCTGCTTCTTAAATCTGCAAGATCTGAGGGGTGACATAGCACAAAGAGGCCTAGGAGCCGTGGGAATGAAGAGACTTGTAAGTTAAGCTAAAGTTAAGCTTGACTAGTTAAGCTAAAAACTGACAGGTTTCGAGGACAGAACTCCTTCAGTTGCACGTGGCAAATGGGATGACTCTAAAGGAAAGTCTGAGGAGAGATATTTGTTTACTTAAAAACGTCAAATTAGTTGAAAGAGTACAGCAAAGTAGGAGAATACATCTGAACAAAATGTCTCTGGATATATTTACAAGTACACCTATGAATCAACATGTTTTCATGCAAGCAGTTCCACATAATACTGTTCTTTATTAAAATTTCCAGTGGTGCAGCTAAGCAGCCAAGATCTTCAGATTATTTTTAGCCTTCTCTTTTCAAAGTCTCACTCGAACTAACTCTCTTTGAGACCAGCAGATTCAAGATTGAGTCCATCAGTTTATAAATGTGGAATGCTTACAGAGCTATAAAAACACTGATAGTACAGCTGATTCGCTAGAAGTTTGTAACCAGGCAGAAAGTGTCTTGCAGGGTTGTGCCTTTCTCTTTTTTGTTTTCTGCTGTATTTATTTCTGACCCATAATTGACTGAGCCCACTAGTGCAATACCAAAAACCTAAATCATACCATATTACTCACAATAGGATAGTACAACACGGTAACTTCATTACAATTTTAAGTGAAAATTACAGGTATGATGTGTGCGTGTGTACATATATGTATACATAAAACCATATAAAACCATACACACCTTAACTGTAAGCAAACAGAAAGTTATGTATGCACATTGTTACCTGAAATAGGTAGACATCTCCAAAAGAATTGCTGAGACAGAATACGTTTTCCTTCTTGGGATGCTCTGGAACAGACTGCACTATGCTGTCCTCTGCAAACAGGGCATACCGAGGCAACGTGCTCTGTTCCATCGAATTCCTTCCATAGGTCTCATAAAACAGCAGGGTACAACCTTCACATTAGGGAGCACAAAGGATAATGAGAAAGTAAGTTCAGGTTCTCTTGTATTAACATTTTTTTGTGATTTAAGACATCCTTCAACAACAGAGAACTTCATTTCCATCTGTCCTTGCAATTGGAAAGAGGAGGAGGTTCCTCCAAACTGAAAAATAGGCAAGGTAATGATGACTTTGCCAATGAAAAGGTGGAACAGGCTTCTAATAGGGACATGTTTGTTCAACAAATACCTAGAAACTGAATTAAGAAAAAACACAGAACAATTCACTAGATGGCCTACTAAAATATTAAAGTGTGCAGAAAATATTAATCTCTCCTTATGTAAATCAGCTTTTGTGTTTATTATTTAAGGGAACTAATCCTCTCTCATAACAACCACCTATGCTGTCTTTGTATTTTCAGAAAAGATTTGCAAAACTTTTGGCTTCATACAGTATTCAAAGAGCCATACAAAACTTGCCATGCTTAAAGTGAGTTTCCTTGAATCTACCTGCATATTGTGGACTTAGACATTGAACTCTGTATGATTAATTTAAAATAGTTTAAAGGGTTTGAGTCTGTTTATGTTGAGTTTTGGAGAAAACACATGCAGGATACTAGATCAGTATCCAGAAAATAAACTTCATCCAGGCTGACGACATTCACATATCACAAAATGTTCAAGGTTGGAAGGGACACTAGAAATCAACTAGTCCAACCTTCCTGCTCCAGCAGGCACACCCAGAGCATGTGGCACAGGGCAGCATCCAGGCGGGTTTTGAAGACCTCCAGAGAAGGAGACTCCACAACCCTGGGCAGCCTGGGCCAGGGCTCTGTAACTCCCAGAGTAAAGTTTCTCTTCATATAGAGATGGAACTTCCTGTGTTGCAGCTTGCACCTATTACCCCTTGTCCTGTCACTGGCCACCACTGAGAAGAGCTTGGCCCCTTCCTCCCTACATTCCCCCTTACATATGTAACAAGAAGAATTATTTATGGAGGACCACAGAGGAGAATTGATCGCAGACTCCAGAAGGATGATTAAGTTGTCATGATGTCTTTGGCAGTGAAGCTCCCACAAGAAGGGCCCATCTTCTCCATCCCCTGCCAGCCACTCATTCCTGTGCAATGTTGCAAGCCACAGCTCTTTAAGATGCCCTGTTTTAGCTGTCCCGCAAGTCACAGTCTGAACTTCATTGGTAAGATAATGTTGTTAAAAAAAAAAAAAAAAAATCCTTTGCTTTCTAAGAATATCTCAGGTCAGTTCTGCATTTAGAGAAAAGACATGAATACATCTCACTTTCACTGGTAGGAAACAACAGTTTAATGCTAGCATCTACTGTTATTTTTTAATTCAGAAGATAAATTAACACAATACCATAGACGGAAATTTAACCCACAAGATCTAAGATCAGAGACATCTTGAAAAACCAGGATAATCCAGCAGATAAAGAAATCTGTTGTGGGTGGTTGGGGATTCTTCATCAAGGCAAGCCTCTTCCAAAAGTTATGCTCCAACTCATTCAGGAATTAGTTTAGGAAACGGCCCTGGCTTGAGTTACACAGCAAGTCAGACTAAACGATCACAGAGGTCCCATAGGGGCCAGCACTCCACGGATACATTCTTCTTGTAACCCCTGCAAATATTCAGTTCAGAATTTGAAACTCAGTCCAAGCAAGGATTAACAGTTTGCCAAGGTCACACCATCATTACTTCTCTGGGTTTTGTTTTTCCTTCAAATCAATGAGGGATCACAGCAGCAATGAGGTATCACAGCACAAGGCAGGGCCAAAACTAAAGCTGGCAGCATGTCTCTGTGCAGCAGACTGCGAGTACCCATCCCCGTGCAAATACACCGGCACCGGGCTTATAGCTGGGGCATTGCCAAGCTCACAAATGGAAATGTCTCTCTCATATGTGATTTTAAAACATTCAACAAAAGGCTGATTTCAACCTTTATTTTAACACTTCGCTAACATTTAACATTGCTAGAAATCCAAAATGGATCATTCTAATTTATGCAAATTTAAGGCAGGTCTTACTAGGAAGTTAAAATCTAATTTCAGAATCAAAATCAAGTGGGTTTGGATTATTCTGTCTGAAAACAGGAGAAGATGGTGTTCTTTGAGTTTGTAGGGCACATTTGCTATGAAAAGGTAAGAGCTGGAATGCACTGCTCTTCTTACAGCTTGAATCAACAGAATTTGAAAAGCAAAAATCAGTCAGATGAATCTCACTGCATTCTCCAGTGCCATAGAACAGCTGCAGGAAAAGGGAAATAAATATATAATAGAAATTAGTGACTGAATGAGTTGAAAACAGAGAAGTTTTCAAAGGAAGGAATCCAATAAATAGACATGCCTGCAAACTACTTATGTACACCTTTTTCTACTATTATCCAAAGAGCATCCAGCAAATCTCTAGAGCTGATCCTATCCTCCCCCTTCCCAGACACCCTTTTTTCTCCCATAAAACACAGAAGCAGTTGGAGATCCCTGCAGATGCAAGAGAAGGAAGAGGTTTTGTTACACTCAATGTATCGAGCATGGTATTTTTTCAGTCATTTCAACATAAACAGGTCAAGCAAAACCAGCAAGTCTTCTCTTCCATTCACAAGCAGCAACACTGTACAGCCACTTCCACTTCTGCACCTCAAGAAAGTGCAAATGAAGTTTTGTTCTGGTGTGTGGCAATATTTTGGTACATTATAGTTCTAAAGTCCCATGTTTCCTCCAGATGTTATCAGAAATGTAACTAAAGTTGTGCTGCTTTCTACCCTGTAATTGTATCTATCCTTTAATTATACCCACCAACTCCTCCTTGAAAGAAGAAAATGTTGCAGGATACGCATGTGTGTTTAGGTGCAAGGAACATCCAGGTATACCTCTGGGTTAAGCCAGATGAACCCTAAAAGTAGCTGGTTTCATAAATTCTGACAGCCCCACAGGGACTGATTACAATCTAAGTGTTTCAATCAAAACTTGAATTGAGGGGGGAGACTGGTGAGAAAGCAATTTCCTGTGTTAAAATTAATTAATTGGACAGGGCAGATGGGAAAGAGGGTTTCTCCTGTTAAAGGGTTACTATTCAAGCTCAGGTCCTGATGGCTCTAAAAGTACAGTGGAGGCCTCAAGACATATATACTTTCAAGTTTGGCAGGTAACCAGATGGTTACAAGCCTTCTGCATATTTATAATTAAACACATCTCAGTAGAGTGCAAAGAAGCATGCTGTTCTCCATTTGCATATGTGGCTATTTTAAGTCATATTTTAAAATATCTTGGCTATTTAAATTTCAAGAACAAATTAACCACAGATTTATTCAAAACCCTGCATAAGGAGAACTAAAGCAAATGTCTTGATCTTGATATAGCATATTATGAAAACAGAACTACGCCTTGATATCCAGACTGGCAAGTTTTTCTTGGCATCAAAATTCCCTACAGGACAATAAAGGTATGAGATCAAGGAAACGAGGAATGTGTATTTAAAACAGCTAACAAAGAGGAAGACATTCTGCACCACGAATGCATCCATAGCATTCCTCCTAAGTAAAACATGCTCTAATGCTTTATATAATGTTAGCATTTAATAAAGCGAAGCAAAGCAAATTCTTTTAGAAAGAATTTTATAATTCCTCTTTTAGAGATGGGGAAATTCGGTTGGGAAGGAGAACAACTTGCTCACGCTCACCAGGAAGCTGATTTTGTAGCAAAGAAGTGAACATGAGGCACCTGAGTCACCCCTTCCCAGCACCACAGCTTCTTTAACCTAGAAATGCACAGACTACAGGGATATAACATTCTTCAATTTAGGTACTTGACAAGATTGTTAGGAAACTACTTGTATTTTAGAAGAGGTAGATCAAACTTGTATTCACACTCCATAACACAAACATAGAAGAAAAGGGTGGCATTCAGATATTGTTTTTCCCTTTTGTATATACTGCGTGTAAGCATGATTCATGCTATCTGATGATTGGGATAAGTGATTTAAACTGTTAAGACTGCCTACATTTTGATCCCTTGATAACAGGTCTCTGAATTATTAGGTAGAGTTGCTACATTCGAGTTTACTTCTTTTAAATCAGTACTATCAACCATAATATTCTCAGCACTTGCTGTTTGCTGTTCATTTTTTTTTCCAAGTCTACACCCATACAGAATTTTGAAAAGGGCAACCTGTGGGAAAGCTGTTATTTTCTCTCCTCCCATCCCAGATATGCTAGGAAACTATTAAGTTTGATCATTTCCTTACTCATTAGCTTAGCATTATATTGACTGAAAGGCAAATTCTTTTGAATGCAATTCAGGAAAAAAAAAATCCTATGAACTCACCCATTAAATTCCTGTTCCTCATCACAATAGATGTTATTTTCCTTCTTACACTTCCTGACACCCATACACTTCTTGTGGCACACCTACCTCCTCCATCACTCTGAGCCACCAACGTGACCTGCTCGCTCAAACACCATAATCACACCCCAGCCCACCCGCAGCACTTGCTTACGTGGATGAACTTCCCACAGGGCTCTTTCACCACAGGAGCAGACAGGAGGGAAAGTAAAGCGAGGACACGGAAAGGCAGCCAGAAAGAAATGTTTGGGAACACCAAGAGCAAGTAGTTTGAGAGAGCTATCCTGGGATGGAAGGGAAACCAGTGATGGAGCTGTGGCTCTGGGAGTGAGTGCACCCACAACTGCACTTTTGTGGGGCAAATTTGCCATGCAAATGTCTCAGCAGAGATGCATTCAGCTCTCTGTTATGGTACTGCCTGAAGCACAGGCAGGAAACTGAATATTTTTATGTTGACTCACCCCAACTTTAAGTAGACTCAAGAAACAGTGACCTGCATGCAAGGGACTTCTAATCCCTACATTTTTACTGTCCCACCACAGAGATGTACCTTCTGGATTTTTTTCATCTCTGACCTCCAAACATATAAAAGCATCTTCTAAAGACCCAATTCCACCTGAGCACAGGAAAAGGGAAGTCAGACAAAACAAACCCCACTACGGTACAACACGCAAGGTTGCACATGCAATACTCAGCAGACAAGTGCTACTCGGATGTAACAAGCTGCTTTGGCACATGCTCCCTTTTCAGCACATGGGTAGACTGCAAAGCCAGATGTGCTACAGAACTGCTCACGGAAAGCAGCGCACATGAAAAGCTGCTACACACAACAGAGGCAATGGCTGGGGTCAAACTCAGGGAGCAACACCGTGATTTACCTTTGAGTGTCACCCAGTACTGCTTCCACTTCCTCCGGGTGACCAGCTCCAGTTTCTTCTCTTTCTGCAGAGTCACCAAGGGTTTGAAGAACAGCCACCCTGCCTTGCGCACCACTCCTTGCTCTTTCTCATACAACAGATCGAGCTGCTCTAAGGAGCTGAGGGACTCACTGCTGGAGTCTTCGGTTTCTGATGAGGTCTCCGTGTTCTCCACGTTTGTCCTGCTCATCTCCAGCTCCCGCATGAAGTTCTCATAGATGTTCTGCCTCAGGGCATCACTGCTGATGGCATTAGTGGATTCACTTCTCTGGGACAGGACATGGCTGGAACCTGGTGACCACAGCAAACTGGAAAGCTGGGAAGGTGCCAGAGTGTCAACAGTGAGGTTGTCCATCCTGCTGTCAAAGTATTCGCTCCCATCTTTGCATTTGGGCTCCTGTACATAAAGCAAATTGCCAGCAATCAAACACCAAAGACAGGATGAAAAGATACATCTCCTTTGGTACTTAAATTTGTTTCATGTTCAGCCACAGTGAATTCCTTCCTCAAAGGCAGCCTCTTTCCACCACCACATCACAGACTTTATCTCAGTAGCCATTGACACAGTCAGTGCCACCACTTAGGTTTTACACAGCAGCCCTCCCTTTAAAACCTAATCACTGGGTCAGCAAGTTTGCTAACTTGGAAACCTCCACAAAATGTCTGAAACTGCTGACTACAGCTGTGGCTTCCATTTCCTGGAACCTGATGGACACCAGGAAGACGACCACATCCACCCTCTAACCGAACACACTTCTGTTTCTCCAGCTGAAACACACTCAGACCACTGCTTTGAGTGCAAGGCTGGGCACAATGTCATGGCAAGGTTTCTCTGGTATTACTGTGTTTGTAATACTTCGGTGACACTCCATTCGGGTGAGGCAGCTATTTTTAACTTCAGCACACCTAGGCTAATTTTATCTCCACTTTTAAATTGCCACATAAACTGTGTCTAACCAACAACAACAACAACAACAAAAGGTCAAAAGTTTGAAATATTTTAAGCTTGTTAGTATTGATCAATTGTCAAAAATCCAATCTAACTGAAGATGCATTTGCTGACTGGCATGAATTCAATTTCCAAACTGCAGAGGTGCAGTTTGACTTTCTGGAAATCCCATAGGAGCTTGACTATCCCACTAAGCACTTGGGCATTTTTCCTACCTGCATGGCTCTCTCCGTTTCTGCATTAAGAAGGGAGGCCAGTTTTATTTGAAATGTTCACACCTCATGACATTTCATATGCATGACTTTGACTTTACCTTGTGACATGTATGTGAACTTATGCCCATTTCCTGCCATTACTTGTCAGTGTGGGAATTTGAGAGCAGGCCTAGACTAGACTGTTGTCTGCTCTCAACTTCCACAGGCTGCAGGGATGTTGAGAGGTTTTGGAGCCTCGTAAGACTGGGCTCCCTGCACCAAGCTCACTGTCAAGAACCATGGTATACATTTTAAGAAGCCACTTATCATCCTCCCAATTTAAGTCTTAATGATGGTATTTATATACAACTGAGATAGAAGAGCTACAAGACAAAAGCTGATGCCTTTGGCAGTGGAGGAAGAATTTGAAATCATTGCTCAAAAGATTTTAAGGAGAAGAAGAAAAAGAGATAGCTATGAACAACTAAAGCAGAAACAAAGCTATTACCCTCGGTAATAACAAAGCTATTACACTTTCCTTTCATGTTTAGATTGTCTCTATAGTAGCATTTATTTCCACACAGACTTCTCTACAAGGGTAAAGTAAATAATCCTTGGTCTCCTGTGCACTGGTCTCAGCACAAGCTTTGAGAGCAACTACTTTTGGGGGGTTTTTGCTTCCTACTTGATGCTCTTCACAAATGTAGTGGAAAAGCTCTGGTGTGTTTTGATAGTATAATGACCTCCAATGAGCAGCCAAGAGCAACACTGAGATCACATGCAGTTGAAAGCGTCACAAGACAAGTCACCTTTCAATCAGCAGGGCACTGCTAGTAGTAGCCTCACAAAAGCCAAATTCAACTGAAAGAATATGTTCTATTACGGGTGTTTAAGTTCAACTCTAACCTTTTGAATCAATGACAAAAAGGATCTAATTCTCCAGGAGCTGTACCACTGGCCTCCATATCTTTCATAAATCTTAATAGATTTTTAGTTAACGTGCTCTGAGAGTAACTCCCTAAACAATCTTGTATTTTATACAGTAACGCCAAATATGTCTATACAGCACAAGGCAAAGCACAAGACCTTAAAGTTCAATGACTCAGCTAATATATACTCATATTTGCCAGAGTTATCTGAGAACAGATTAAAGAAAAAAAAAAAAAAAAAAACCCTAAGACATCGGTGATAGTAAGCACAGCAGTTTCTGTTCTCCACACACAAGCTGAGGGAAAGTTTAAAGGCGAGAAAAAATATTTTGTGCACCTAAAGTGACTATAAAACAAGAATTACAACTGCACTGGCCATATACTGTTGTATGCATTTGGAAGTTTTCTTTGCTCTCTTTTTAATTCACTGTAAGTGTATATATGTGGCAAAAATCAGCATTTTAATTATTTCTGATCATTCTCCAGTTCCCTTTAGAAAAGGGTAACATTCAGTTTATTAAAAGATATCTATCTCTTTCAATTACGAATCACTAATTAAAAAAAAGTAATGAGAGAAACTTATACAAGAGGATGTCTGATGTGCAGGGCTGCTATGGAACAATTACCATTAATGAAAACAGAAGAATTCAACTTGCTCCATGGGCAGCCTTTAAGCACAGCCTATGTTGGGAACATTCCTCTTTGCTTTATTTCTATTGTCTCTAGTGATAATACGAAACTATCACTCTTTCTGCTATGCCACATTCAAGCAGAACTCTCCAAGTCTGAGTTATTTCTTGAAATAGTTACAGACACAGATAACCCAAAAGATCAAGTGGCTAACCAAGATATTAACTAGGTTGTGATGTGTGCAATAAATATCTGCAAAGAACATGGAAAGAACTAATAGAACTCTCAGAGTTAAATCTGTGAGGGCCCAGGCTAATAATGGGATCTAATACCAGCTTTTAATCCAAATAAAGATGTTACTTCAGTGTCCTTTTCTTTTAAATTTTCTTCCTTTGGATTTGCACTGCAATACATCAGTGCTCTGGCTTATAAAAGGCAGTAAATTTTAGAAACAATTCTCATAACCAGACTATTTACTTCATTCAAGAACTTGTCTTATGCAGTTGTTTCCAGTTGCTGGATTTTAATTTTACACATCATGTGTTCTTTGATTCAAGTTCTGCCTATGTTGCAAAGACAGACATACGCTTAATTGTGTCCACAGTCTACGCCACCATCCTTAGCAGAGCCTGCATGACGAGTCGGCCTAAGCTCTGCCCACACATCAGTCATCACTGCCCATGTTTAGCGTAACGTAGTGTGATACTGCATCTTCCCAATTCTGGTTCTGCAAGGACTTAAAGAAGGATATGTCAAGCAGTAGAGCACTAGTGATGCATAGTGAGAACACAGTAGGATATCCTCCTGCAGAGAGAGCTGGGGTACGGTACAAAACGACTGCCAGCCTTTGATGTGAGACCATTATTAGAAAGGCAAACTCAGTTCCAGGATATATCAGAACAAATATCAGATCAAGCCACACATAAGGAAGCATCCAAGTCATTGGGCAGGTCATAGCCAAAGGCTCATCTGGAATATCCCATATCCAATTCTGGTCGTGAATGATTTAAAACAGGTGCAGTGAAGGGCTGCCAGAATGAAAAAGGAAACAGATTTCCTATCTTAGGGACAAGAGCCCAAAAATGTCTACACAGCCTAGGAAACGTGAGCAGAGAGAAGATACAATTTCTCCCTTTAATAAATTGTAACAGATTAAATAATAAGGAAGGATAACTAAAGGACAATACTGGCATGAGAACAAATTGGCCAGGGCTACATTTAGTCTGCAAATTAGAAGACAAGCTCTAAACATCAGAGTAAAAGTTCTAAAACAGCCTCCAAACCAGGGGACAGTTTACCTAATCCAAAGACCTGCAATTTGTTCACCGTTATAAAGAACACTTCCGTTCTAATGGCAGGGAACTAGTCTCAATATCCTAAAATTGTCCCTTTGCATTTGGAATTCCCTTGAAGTGGATGGCTAGACAACTTGTTTCCACAGGAACAGCTGGAGGGTCTATACTCTCAGCCAAGCAACTGCTTAGGCCTATCTGTACTGAAGTATTCCAGTTTTCAACTATATTCTGACCTAAGTGCCTTTCAGGCAGCAGTACAGTAGTAATTACAGTAGGTAATACAGTAATACAATTAGTTATTTGCAATGTAATGATGAAGGGGCACAGTGATCAGAGCAAGGCAGAAAGAAACATTACAATCATATGAGGAACTATCCTACAGGGTCTAAAACTGCACCAGATGAGAACTGTGAGCACTATTTTCACCTCCCTAAGCCTAAGGATCCAGGGTGAGTATAATCATCACCTAGTTACAACACAGTAGCCCCTAGAAGAGTTTACTGTTCTTTCAAAACATTTGAGGCCAAAAGGAACTGACCAAACCTCAGAATGAAGGCGAAATCATAAAATCATAAAACTACTCATACAGCTACTCATTTTATCCTTCCTGTAGCTAGATACTTGGCTGGATATTTGGGAAAAAAAAAAAAAAAAGCCTCTTTCTTTAAAAAAAAAAAAAAAAAAACCACCATTTTTAGAGCTAAGGCTAATTCCCTCCTACCAGCATCTGATCTGATGTAATCTCACCAGTAGAATTTCCTTGCTGTTTCTGAAGTCAGTTCACAGCACACTGAATTCAAAACAGCTATGATTCGTACACCACAAATACCATTCTGAAAATGTCATAACTAAGTAATACATGGCAAAGGTCTGTGATGCAGGGATCATATGCAAAGTCTGGTTATGAAATCCGGAATAGCTACAGATATTTGCATTAGTGAAGATGCTGATATAAAATGTTAAGGCCTTCTTTGTTGATTCTGGTTTTTTTTTCCTGCCTTCTATTTTACAGCTGAGTAAGAAGGTGAAAAGATAAAATCTGACACATCTGAAGAATACACGAACATCAACCCACAAAAAAAGCCTCCTGAATGAGTTAGTAATCCAAATAAATGGCTTTCATTTTCATTTTCCCAGATCTGTCATTCTTATCTAGGAGTTATGCTTGAAAACTTTACATTGACCTCATTTGTGAGCCTACGTGACCTCAAGAATTTCATACTGCAATGACAGAGGTCTCAAACTAAATACAAAACCTATCAAAATTTCCATCGGGGAGGCAACGTTCACTCCACATGCCACTGAAAGAGCCCAATAGAAGCTGCTACTCAACCGCTGCCTAAGTGGAAGGCACAGGAGCTCCCCTTACTCTGATCCCCTTTGAAAAGGCCAGCAACCCAGGACAGAATGAAAGAAGAAACCAGCCCTTACTTAAGAGAAGTGCAGTGGTTGCTTCCGTACAAAACCACTAGAGAAGGTGGAAGGAAAAAAAAGTCCCTGCTGTCCATTTCGGCTTGTGAGCTCACATAGACAAGGCCAGGCACAGCAGGCACAGTCTGGCATTTAAAGAGCCAGTTTTGGGGTCTGCAGCTGGAGACAAGAATTTCATTCCTGGCCACAGGCATCCTAAATTCCTATTAATGGGATTAGCCTTAAATTCTTCTAAAGAGACATCCTTTCCCTCCCTCTCGCCCTCCTCCCACCTCCTTTTACACACAAGCGACTCCCGGCTGGCCAGATGGCAATTCCAGCTTTTCCATCTGGTGCACTAAGCTCACACACAGGAAAAAAGAGGGCACATGATTAATACCTTCACAGAAGGTAGAGGCAGAATGGGGAGCTCCACTGGCTACAGCTGCTTGCCTAGCTAGGAACAGACTGACAAAGAAACAAAAGTCAGTGACGAAACGAAAAATACAAATAAGGGAACACTGGAAAAGGTATTTGTAACATTTCTCAAATTTGCTCCTATTTCTCCTCTTATATTACTTAGATAAAGCATGTTGATTCATAGCGTATATGTGATATCTGTATATTTCCATAGGCAAAGCAAAAGTAAAAAATGCTGTATTTTCAAAAGTTAATTCACTGAGATATTAGGCTCCAGAGATTCAAGTTAGAGACAGCTGAAAAGGTGACAAAATAGAAAGGAAATATGTGCACACATAAAAATGCATTTTTTTATTATTGTTGTTGAAATTTCAGATGGCTGCAGAGTTGGAATCCACCTCAGAATTCCACAGAATACCAAAGGAGGGTAGTAACCAATTCCTCTGTGAGAAAGACAAACATGATGCAACCGTTACATTTCTGAGAAAAATCAAAAGAAACAATTTCCAGGCCCTTAGGCTCTGTACGTACCTGCAACTTTCTTTTCTTCCTCGAGAGGCTTCCTGTCCAGTCACTGATGCGTCGCATTCGGCTTTTTAATGTGTCCTTCTTGGATACATCCTCATTGAGGGGCTTAGACTTTCTGCATGGCAGCGTGTAGGAGGAGTAATGTGCAGGACTTCCATGCTCTACCCTGGAGGGAACATCAATGTCTGAGGCAAACGACACACGGTTGCTTAAGCTGCCATGAGCATCGATATATTCATCGGACAGCCTGATCCCAGGTGGAGGGGTGCTTTCCAAATTTGCATCCTTATACAGATCTCTGAGCGACGAGAGAGATGAACTTTGGTTGAATGACTTCTTGTTGTCACTCGCTGGGAAACTGGCATGAATGCTCGTATCTGGAGTACTCCTGGTCAAATACGGACCATCCAGCTCATTGATATCCCCAGCATTTCCCCAGAGAGAGTCATACCATGAAGACTCAGAGCTTAGGGAGCTTCCCTTACTAGATCGAAGTCTTGAGTCAGTAGGTGACAGACGATGGCTGGAGGAACAGTCCGCGCTGGAGTTCCTCCTGACATCAAGCAGGTTGTTCTGTTTCGATTCTAAAGTAGGTGAATACCTCAACAGTTGGACCGGTCCACTGGATTCCTCTGTAGGTACTTTGTTGTTGCTGCTGTTGTGGAATTCAACCCTCAAGCAGCCATCTAGCTTTCCCAGTGTCTTAATGAGGACTTTTGGACTCCTCCTGTCCTCTGATGGTGAGGTGGATGCAAGACTCTCGTTCTTTCCATAGCAATTCAAAATGTGTCCATTGCACTCTCGGGAGGCCGCTTGAAGGCCAATATAGTGGAAACCATTCTCAGGCAAAAAAGCTGCACTATTTGCTTGGCAGTAGTCCTCTGAGGTGTTTGTCCTGTGTTTGGTGTGGGCATTGCTTTTAGGGACCTTCAGCACGGTGTCACCGAGTCTAGATGAATAAGGCTGACTACTCTTGAAGTGGGAAAGGCAGCTTCTGGCAAGGGACCTTGATTTATAGTTGGAGCCACTACTGGCATGTCCCCATCCATGCAAGGAGCAAGACTTTTCATCTTTAGCATGAATGCTGCGAATTTTTAGAGTGCAAGGCTTCTGCTTGGCACCAGCTGTAGCAGCAGCATGATTTTTTGATCCCTGAAGACTGTATTGGCTTTCTGAATTCCCCATTTTCCTCTAAATTAAGAGGAGTTTCATTAAAAACAATGGTCAGAAGACAAACAGCTATAAGCAAAAGACCGTTTTTACTCTCTATGCAGGAAAGTGCCTTTTTAAAAAATGGTATGAAACAATTGCTTCAAAAAATCCATTAAACAGCCATTTACAACATAAAGTTCATAACAGCATTTATTTTAGGGGCAGGCGAGGAAAACCTATTCTTTGCACGGCTCATTACCCCTCTGTTATAAAGCTGGAATCTAACCCCATTGAAATCATGTCAACACCTTTCTCCACCCACACCCTTGGCAACATCCTTTTCTTATAACTTACAAAATCTCTGGCTCCCAAGAACAATGGCATAATGAAAGGGAGACAGCGGGATAATCATTACTTACATGTAAAGTGAACTGTACTTTCAGAAAAAAATCCCTTCTGCCAGGAGACATGCAAACTGCAGTTTCAGCTTGACTGGCTTCTGGGCAATAAAATGTTGCCTCAACTAACTGTTCTGCAAACCCCAACTTCATGTTTAAATGGAGTCAACTTAGGAGGGGGAAAAAAATGAGGACAAAAAAAATACCCCCAAACAAAAAAGGGCTTGGTTAGCCAAACAGCCTCATCTTCCATTACGGCACAAAACCGCATTATGTTCGTTCAGCACAGGGCAGTTCGACAGTTCACTTAGTAAAAAGCTCTTTAGCTTTTTACCAAATTCACAGGAAACTGCTTTGATCCCAGAGATTTTACTACTCTGAAGTAGTAAAATTGCCAGAATGAGAAGATGGAAGGGTTTTGCCCTATACAAAGGGCACTGTCTTTTTTGTTACTTGGAGTCAATCTCCGCTGGTTGCAATCTACAAAAATAGAAGTAAGTTTTTAAACTATAAAAATCAAGTTGCATTTCCAGCTGGTACTGTGCTTCTTTGCATGTCCTATCTTATATCATCAGTCTTAGAAGAACCCACCACAGGCTCATTAAAAATTTGGGAATATCATGCCACTGTGAAAAAAAAAAAAAAGTCTTAGCTCTTAAGAGTTTACACATATTTTAATATCCTCTCCTTCAGCCCTTACCCTTTTCAGGAGAAAAGCACAGTATAAAACAACAGTATACCTGTAGGATCACTGTTAAATGTGGGCACAGTTATCAGTCAGCATGCTTTGCGTTGTCTTCGTGGCCAGCCACTACTCCTTCCAAAGAAGGGAGAGATGCACACAGTCTTTCTGGAAAACACCGAGAGAGACACAAAAGGGTTCACTGTCAAATACAATGCATATGCATTACTTGAGATATCAGCATAATCGATACAAAAACGAACAAAATCCACAAATGGAGAGGAGAAAATGATTAAGATGATTCTTAGATTCTTAAAAAGGCCCCTGGAGTAATTCACTCCACCATCCAACCAGCAACATCTCTCTTTATATTTGTTCTAATTTTAAATTAATCTACCTGCAAAATAATGAAAAAGGCACCAAGCACAGTGCAGATCAGAAGGCAACAAGACACAAGTTCTTTCTGATCAGATGAATTTATCAGCTGCTCACTCGGCACACAAGGACGCAATTCAAAACAAGAGGGCAGAAGCTGAACTTGAATACACCAGCAGCTTAGTGGCTGAAATACTCAGTAGAAGCAGGACAGAATTTTTGGTTCAGATTTGCAATACAGATTTTTAACTAGGAAAAAAAAAATAGATACACCACTTCCAAAAACTTTCTACATAAACTCAGTGATTATTGTTCACAGTTTTTAACTAATTAATATGCATACACAGTTTTGCTTTTTTTGACTTACTTTGGGAATATTTACTGCTTTAAGAACCTTGAAGATATTTAAACTTCACTGGTATTTTGCTAACCTTACATGAAAAAAAATGATAAAGGTTGCAAACTAGCCTTAAAAACAGAGATTGGAGGGAGCTGGGAAAAAGTCTGCAAATAAATGCATAGGAAGTATATCCTTTTGGATATCCTAGAGAGGCTAGAGATGTTACAGACCTATAAACACAAATTCATGGCTGTTATTGTAAGACATTTCACAGGAACCAATGGACCACATAAATTTCAGCTTACCCTCTGAAAATGATCTTTTTAACTTGTTTATTCTTTCTAACTGTCACATAGGTTGGGATTTAGGACTCCCTTGCCTTGTAGGTTTGATTTGTCTACACTGCTTAGAGCATCCATTCATGTAAAACAGTTTTAATAACATCCAGTGCCACACAAAGTAAACAAATGGGATTCTAAATTCAAGGTAAAACTAAAACATGGGTAAATAAAAGACAGCATGCAAATTTCATGAAGTTCAAAGTTGCAGAACAAACGCGAAACTTCAGCAAAACTGCCTTCCTCAACCTAGCAAGCAGGGATCACACACAAGCAGGAGTTTACATTCAGAATTCTTCATCTGGGAGCAGAAACTCCATTCAACAAGGGGGCTTTGAGGGGCTTATTTCTATTCATAAGGGAACACTGAACCCAATTTGTCTGAAGAAACAGGCAAAAAGACCATCTGGTCTCCATAGTGATTGTGCAATGGTTAGGTAATCCTTTTAACAGAGTGGGTAGTGAGCAAGCTGCTGTCATGAACCTCTGAAGATAGACAGTCAATTCAAGGCTCAAGCTACTGCTACAACTCCCATTGTCCATGCCTGATCCGGTACACAGATCACATAATGCCTGAATGGATAAATTTATCTCAGGGGACAAAATCTCCAAAATAGCGTCGCAGTCTGTGTAGGAATCAGCTGGCAGTACAACACAGCAGTCAATAAATTCCATACAAATTGCCACAAGGGTTTTTTTCTCAGCATCCCAGCCGTTCAGAAAGCTACGGTAGGCTAAACATCTATACACACCGTAATAACCAACAGCAGCATCTGCAAGGCTGCACAAAGACCTTCACTTGGACAAAACAGCCATAAAGTTCTTGCATCACGCTTGTGTGGAGCAATTTGCTGCCTACTAATGACCACAGGGGTGAATGAATTGGCTTGCTCTCGAAGGCAGCACAATGCCAGGGCTTGGAGGAACTCTACGACAAGCTTGGCCTACTCTCATTCCGAAAATTCAAACAGTTTACACCGTTCTAACTGGAAGCATGGGACATTTCAGTGCAGGGAACTTCAGTGTCCCCTGTATTTCTCATGGCAACCCATTACCACTGAAGAAAACATGCTTTGCTCTGTTAGCAGGCAGAGGTAGAGCGATAAATAGTTCCTGTGAACAAAACCAGCCTCTACGGATATTTTCTGCAATTATAATCAATGTATTTAGAACGCAGCTTGCTGTGCCTGAAGATGACTATTAAGAGTTTATTTGCTTTCAATTATACCCACATTCCCAAAAAAAAGAAGTTTTTAATCTTCACCCTAGTTCCCCTTAACACATTTAAAAAACACAGCTATGCAAACATACTAATCTGGGAACCCCACCATCACCACCACACCCAATAATTAACGCAAATCATAACCCCAGAGCTAAAAACGTATTTCCCCACCTTTACGCTCCTTCACATAAAGTTCTCCTAGTCTTTTTTGGCTCAGAAAAGCAAACATGCATGCTCAGGAGACATTCCAGCAAATAGTCTGCCACCTATATTCCTTCATTAATACCACAGTCCATAGACAATGCCACTGCAGTTAGACTGTTTTAAAAATGCTTGAGGGAAAATACTGATTTTAAGATTAAGATGAGGGCATATACGGCAATGCTGTGCAACTTTAAGGATGCTTTTCTTGCCAATCTTAACCTCTGAAAGAGGAAGCTTGACCTGAAAACTGTATTACAAGTAAAACCAAACCATAACAGTAAATTTATGGTGTTTATGAAATAAGGCAGGAAATTTTTATATTATTAATTAGCAGCAAGTTTGAGTCAAAGAGGACAAGGCACCTGTGTTGAACTCATTTGGTACAGCGGAAAGATGCACTAGACTATGGATTTAGCTACTGCTCTCAGTACAGTGACATCAGCTTGGCTGAAACTTTCTAAAACTAAAGTTTAAGACACTTCCCTCTGTTCAGTTGTACAGAAATAAAACTGCAAACTCCAGACTTACAGAGAGTGAGCCCAAAGACACAAGAAGACTGAATACTCTGCAACCAAAGCCAGTATTAGTCATTGGCCATAAATCAGACACAGAAAGACAACAGATTGTGATGGGGCATCATCCTATGGTACCTCATCAGATTTCTGTCATTGAGGCTGACAGTCTAAGTGTCTCTGATGCAGTAAGAATTTGCCTAAGGTTAAGTTCTAGCCTGGATCAAGAAGACACCGCACAAGATGTGAAGCCATGCACCAAAGCTAGTACTCTGATGTATTTTGATGGCTTTCTTCCTTGGATGGCAGCTGAAAATGAACCTTCACTAGTGGATGTATACAAGTGATCACTTGTACAAGTGACCCAATACAATACAATCCAATACATCCATACAATCACTTAATCCCCGATAAAGAAGCTTCTCTGAAAGCATCTAGTGATGCTGTGCAGGCAAGCTGATGCTAACTTTACTAACCATTAATGCAAAAACGATAAAAGCAACGACAAGGAAAAGAACAGTGTAGAGCAGCCTGAGTAACGTTATCCCATCAAATTTTTACCACTGAGTGGGGACTCATTAGGAAATGCAGAATATCATGAGAGATTTCAGAGCTAACAGGAACAATAACTGTTTACGCATAGCATAAGTGCTTAAATTAAAAACCTTTCCTATCTTAAACACACACAAAAAAAAGACTTTCGAAAGACCAACAGTAAGAGAAAGTAACAGAAAATACCACCTTTCACCCCTTCAGTTCATTGCAACAGCTATCAAGGCACAGTTCTGGCTTTTTAAAGAACCCTTTTGTTGAGGAAAGGGCAAAACATTCTGCAGGAAAGAAACAAGCTATTTTGTTGCTTGTCACAGCTTAAGCAACAACAATGTGTACACAACCCCTTGGATCTTTCACCTCTGCTGAGCTCTGCAGGGTTGGTGCTGGCCGTGAAGGACTGTTTAGAGCAGCACGGCAGCTTTTGGGATGGACGATGGACCCAATTCTCCACAAAGTGCCAGTCATTTGTAGCCATGTGATGTGGCAGTGATTTTGCAAGCACGGCTGGTCTGGGTGCACGCTGAGGAGGTGCACCACAGCAAAATGTCATTGAGATTAGTGGAGGTGCTGCAATGGGCAATCAGAAAGCATTTCAGAGCAATAAAAATGAAACAGAACCTCCCCTTCTTTATATGGAGTGAGCAATTTGTTACTCTATGCACAAATCTAGCTAGAAAAGCTGCAGGCTTTGATGTAGACCAACAACAACTTCACTTCTTTCAATACCATGGATTTTTTTTTTAAATGGACAGAGAAATTTCTATTTTCCTTCTTTCAGTTCAAGCTACTTCTAAATTCTCATGTTTCATGGTTAAAACACCACACACTTTAAACGGCTTCTGAAGTCTTAGAAATTATTCATAGCTGTCTCCCAGGTACTATTCTTTTCCCGAGTTTTGCAAGGAATCAGTGTGCTCATTGAATTCTTACAGAAACACAGAATTATACGTTTACAGTTTAAATCAACTTCTTAAATCTATTTTTTTTTTTTTAATACAACAGTAACACAGAATGCTGGAATGTGAACCTGCCCTCACCTTCTCACATGGCTGCATGTGGATGGATATTAATGAGGGAGGGACGTTAGCACAACACTGTAGTTGGATTAAATATGGAGTTTCTTACTGGAAACAATTTACTGTATTTTTTAGAACTACGCACTTTAGTCACATGCTTCCACAAATCAGAAGCAGATTTTTTATTCCTGCGATCCCAATCACATTCCTATTATAAAAATATACCATAATAATTGTACCATGGTATTCTTGGCAAGGATATTTTACATTATATACCACTGTATTCAAAGAATGAATAACCAGAACACCACAAATATGTCTTAAAAAAAAAAAAGAATTATTTTGCCCCAAAAATGCAATTAGAAGCCAGAATTCCTAATTCACTGACTAGTCTCTTTAGAGAGACATCTGACTATTCTAGGAACTGTTTAGTAGCACAGACTAAACTTGAAACAATAGCTTTTCTCATTAAACATATGTAGTCATTATGACTCAGATGTTTCTTTCTATACTGTTCTATACTCTACTAGTACATCAGACTAACATATTCCATACCTGGGACACAATTTCTTCTTTTACTCAACTATTCTTTCGAATTCAAGGCAT